AATAGTACCAAACCTGCCAAAACCTCACAAAACCTGCTGTTGGAGTACGGCAGGTTTTGGGCAGTTAGGGTTAACGCTCTTGCGTAATAACAGCCCTGCCACCTTACCATCTTCACTCAATACAGGAATCCTTTTTGACCTTACCTCGGTGTCTTTCTCTTCCTTTCCATAATACACGTTACTGGCATACGTGATGATTCCATTGATGGTGAGGGGTGGCACAAAGTTGAGAGAATCAGCCATTAGCTTCATCACAACAGCTAGGGCCTGCCACTTGATGTAGGCCTTTGCCATAATACGATAGAGGGAAAACTTGTTGACGTCGCCTAGCCTGGCGACTCTGTCCTGAAAAAAAAAATGTAAAAGTAAATACACCTCACAATTCTGTAGAAGTTAGCACCCTTTCAACAGAAATGAAGAGAAAGGTGAGGGGGGGACCATTTCAAACTAGGTGCTCAACACATTTACGAAGACTGTACATGTACATTCAAACAGAAATTGGCTGGGCTTGCTCAGAGCAGTCCGTGCCAAGTGCATATGACCCTGCATTATGTGAATGGTGTGCCCCATCACAGGAACACTGCTTATGCTCTAGAACACACCATCTCTTGGTAATATGAACACTACTGAGCTCCATTGCTAAGTGCTTTGAGCTGGATCAAGAGGGGGAGCTATTTCGTTAGCAACGGAGGCTCCACTGGTACTGACTGTACATGGCTGGTTCAAAAACGACTAGGAAAAGTAAGCGTTTGAGTCACATCTCTAAATGAATACTCCCAACCAACGTCGCTCTTTTCAACTGATGAGGGGGTGCTTCTGCTCAAGGCAGATAATGGTGAAAAATAGAATGGATACCTTTAGGAGCAAGAAATCTATGCGGCAAGTGTAAGTGTGTACAGACTGTTTCGGCAAGACCGTGGTCTGGAATTGTCTGCAGTGTACTCTGGAGTTGTTACTACAAATGGGAAGTCCTTCGGGTTTTACCATGACCGTCAGAGGGCGCACCTGGTTGTGAATCAAGGGCCGAGTGATATGGCTGAAGCAGTCTGTGTATTTTAACACCTGTTACAGAGACCTCTGGCTTAATCAGGTATCATTTCTATATTCTACTTCAATGTCATCTCTTGGTTCCCACACTGAGCAGACAGGCCTGGGCACCTTAAGCTTGGTTTCTGAGTTGATACAACCAATTATTCCAAATTGAAAACTGAAAATCACAACTCAACTATTTTTTAGTCAATTCCCAACCCCCAGATCCTTCAAAATCCATTAGGTCATTTGGTAGATTTTGAAGGATTGAGGAAGGTACAATGTACATGACACTTCCCAGGGCAGATTCAGAAACATGTTTTTTGAGGGGTGATGAGCATTTTGCAGGTAGAATAATTTGATTTACATGTACCAATATAAACCGTTCATATCCTTCCGGTCAGGTGATGCTACAGTTCGATGGTTTTTACAAACTGTCCGAAAGAAACCAAATGAAATAGACCCCAAACTGCCTTTCTCTCATTACATTTCACAAAACAACCTTTTGCCCTTTTAGATTCCATCAGAAAGTATATCCATGCAGTTTCAAAAACTCCTCAAGCACCCAAAATTCTTAAAAAGATGGCCTTATACATGGTCTGGTAGCATGGCTTGTAGAAAGAAAAAAATTTAACCTTTTCTTGCTGTAGACATCTTTCAAAGATGTTTTTGTTCCAGCGGGAGGAACTCATTTTGGGCAAATCTCCTAAGTCACTGATTTCCAGTGGGCGTTGGTAGCCTAAATGCATCAGCCATCCAAGCCACTTGAAAACTAACAGAGAAGGCAAGCTGACAAATCTAGGGGAGAATGAGAGAAGAAAATGATAAAACATTGCACTATGTAACTCTTCAAATTAAAAGTTATCATGACTTATACGTATTTGAGATAAGACTAGTTTAAAATTGTCTCTTTAAATAAATCTATGCAATTTTCAAAAATAAGGTAAATTTAAACGTACAGTGAAAGACTTATCTATGCTTCAGAACAATTTGTTACATGTATTTCTAAATATGATACTTTGTCTGGGAAATGAATTGCTGTTGTTTAGCAGGTAAGGTGAGGGGAATTTGGGAAAAGACAAGTTTTGTTGAAAGCTGGAAATCCTGAATAGAATATACATATAAATGTACTTATATTCTTCCATTGTTTGAAACCTTTCACTAAAACAACTCAGCAAAAACTTTGTCCCCCCACCACCAAAAAGGAAAGAAAATTTCAACCAGAAAATGCTTACTCACGACAAGTCAGCAGTCTGTTATCAAACTTTTTGACAGTAAAAAAAAACTAAGGGGCACAATTTTCCTGCAACTTTGCACTCTTCCTCAATGTATGAAGACTAATTTTAAAGTCTCTGGTAGTTTGAAGATATTTAAAAGAGCACTGTTCAACTATATATTTTTTTTTAATTTTGAAACAATATGTAGAAGCGTGCTTTTGTGATGTCATTCTGGGAAGACATAGTTCCATGTTGAAATTAATTGTAAACCCAGAATTTAATCACTGAAAACATTTCTGAGAAAGGGTCGCTTGCTTACTTACTTAAACAATGAATAACCAATGAAAAGAAAAATTAGGCCAGGGAAATCTTTTAAAAAGCAGCATTTGTTGTGCACAAAACCAGAGTAACCGATGCTTTCTTCCCCTAAAAAATTCAGTTTCATGTAAGGATATCTAAATAATCATAATAAAAACCAAACAGAAAGCAAAATACCATTTACAATAGTGAACTAGGTTGAATGAGACACAAGGGTGCTTTTTGGAGTTTTCTATTTGAAAATATAAACCACTGCAGTGTACCTTTTAACTGTGCAACAATTTGCTACAAAGCCTCAGCAATCAGCGATTTTTCAGAGATTTTCTACATTTTCCAAGGAGGGAGGAGAAGCTTTAGGCATTGCTGGACCATGCATATAATTAACATAAGTTATAATATCATAGCATTTATAAGGCACACAATATCTGACAATGCCATTCAAAGGCATCAACGGATCAGTGTTACTGCTCATTAGGATGACAACATCTGACAATGTCTGAACATTCCTGAGACCATCTAAGCTCCCTAGGGAGTACACTAGCCCAATGCTTCACTACGCCCTCATCTGCAGTTATGATACCAGTGTTTTGACTTGGTGGGTGTAAAGGTGCTTGTTTTTGTAATCAGAAGGATTTTTGTTCCATAAGTCCAGCTCACCTCATGTAATATTTCATAGAGGGATTCTGTAGATCCTCGGGCAGTTTGCCACCCGACTGACTGAAGGGGCTAAAGAACTGCAAAGCAAAATCCACACGCTCATGAATTTTATGAATACGAGGCACTGACTGTTCTACATGTATCTACCTGGCAGTATAAATTATGTCCCATGTAACATTTAGCTGCAAACTCCCATGTTGATGTTTTGACACAGCTAATGAGAACTTTGAAATGAGACGAGGGTTCAAGGAAAATATTGCTCAACCAAAAAAGTGCATTTAATTCCGGTCCAAAAATATGTGTACGTCGAGTCATGCCATACTGTGAACTCCATTCTTTTAAAGGAAAAAAATTCTTCAGTAAGGAACATAAGGAGCAAAAAACTGATCGCTGACTTAGTATGGCTAAAAAATCTAGATTAAGCAAGGATTTATTGCTTTAAGTTTCACTTCTGACTACTCATGAAATTGCAGTAAAACAAAACCTCTGATATCTTTCACAATCCCAAACTCTTTAGTGTCTTTTAAAAGTCACTGGACCAAATCCATCAAATTCCCACACTCCCTGAGCAAACCACATTTCCCACTGAAAATTCTACCATTGCCGTGATGGTCTGTTGATAGAGCTATTGCCATGACAACATGCACTGAATGTCTAAATAATACTTCAGGCCTCCTCAACCAAGTCCATCATCCTACGCCAAAATGTGGGAATGGATTTCGATGAAATGTGGAATGGTTAGAATTTAAAGGATTTTACAAGATAAAGCCAGAAATTATAAACAATGCTTCACATGTTACTTGAAGTGGCTCAATGTTTTCTTTCCTGCAAAGTGGTGGATTTTAGAGGCTTTTGGTATAAATGTCCCAAGCATACATGCCTCAAGGATCAGAATTAGGTTTTAATGTCAATATTGAATCTAATTTAATTGCAAGCATATACAGGACTTATCACTGATGAATCTACGGGTATGCTCACCTTGGCAAGTAGAGTTAAGACCTCCACTAGTACAAAAATGGAATAAAATATCATGGTAAGAATCACTGCATCGAAGCGTACGATTCTGACATCAAATCGGGAGGCATCTGATATCCAAGTCACCAATCTGACTATTTCCCCAGTCAATGCAAGCAGCCAATAAGGC